TCACATTTGAGGTTCGGTTATGCAATCTTCATTGCCATAAATTGGCGTTTCTACTTACCCTACATACAGAGCTGGAAGTACCAGCGAGGGAAAGAATTGGATCAATACTCAAAGGCTTTGGCACGCTCTCTTGAGAGAGCCGAAACGCACCCGACAGCGATCACACCACATATATAAGATCCGCTTTCAATCCGGCGAAAGCGGCTCTGCTCTGCACACGAACGAAAGTCGTTACACGCAATAAAGGTGAAGCTCATAGATTTGTATTGCAATCACAGACGGAGCGGAATGATTGGAAACAATCAACCAACGAAATTCTGTAACTTCCAGCTTCGCGATATTATATTGTTGTGTTTTCCTCAATTCATTCGTTCTCTTGTCGAATRTCCTCCACCCAGCCCCCCAAAAGTGAACTCAACTCTATTTTGCAATGGAACCAGCGTCCTCCGAGCATCCATCCCATGAAGGCCAGTATTACCATTGCACCCAGCAACAATTGCATTCAATCGATAAGAGATTGCTATCATCTAATCTTGGAGAGAAGACCTATCCAGTCCAATCGTTCTCGTATCATCTACAGCAGCCAGTRCAGATGCAACAATATCCGCCGAGGGAAAAAAGTACAAGAGCTGAGAATGACCTTGAAGACAACAATGRCTATGAAAAATCATGTTACAACCTCGGTTGCGTGGCACGCCCCGACCGAAATCCGACYGAAGCGATGTGTTCCAATCCCTTCTCTGACCACTTGGACCAACGGCCAAACACTAACAACGCGGCCTACGATGACTTGTTCGTTTCGTCGCAACTCTCATGTCCCCTATCGACGGCTCCCAGCAGCCAGATAGGGAGCCAGGCTAGAAATGCATCCCAGACAAATTCGAATGTCAAAGCTAGACATACCGCAACACGCAGAAGCACCTCAYCACCTCGGCTTGGATACGTTTCGCCGGACCATCCACATTCCCGTCTTTCTTTCAGGACGTACGCGGAACCATACCAGCCATCGAACCCGAGGGTTGAACAGTTGAAAGCACCTATAGAAAGAAGCAGAAGYAGGTCAAAAAAGGGAATGGTCGGAACATCCGAGAATCCTCCGTTGTCGCCGTCGCCGTCGCCTCCTTTGCTGCGCAGCAACAAGATCTACATCAGAATCAAACGATCGGTGGCCCGGCCACCGACCAAGAAAGTTAATAGACTCAACGCCGGTTCCGCGCACTCTTTTTCGATCAATGGTTCGCAACAATCCTCTAAGAAGAGGATGGTTAACGGACAASAACCTCACAGAAGAGTGGTGTTATCAACGCATCGAGCCAATGATTTGGCAGTAGCAGGGTGGCAGTATCGGCCCAACCAACCTTCCGGCCCCCCACACCCTAWAGATTTCTTTATGAAGAACCAGGCCATTTCCAACTTCGACAAGATGTACCGGCTTGTGCTCCCCTCCCACGATAAAATCGTCATGATACGCAATCTGCTGTCAATGGAATGCGGTCCGCTGTGGTGGGACCTGGAATGGAAGCCACCAGATTCCTTTGTGCTGTACCTCGCCGATGTTCTGACGAGAAGAGTGAAGGAGTATCTCCAGAGCAGCGCCCGGAATTTGTATTGGATCAAGCACGTACGGTTCTGGAGACAGTTGCTCGATCCGGAGCGTTCTTGGTGGAACATTGGGCAGGGATCCATTTATAACGATTTTGCAAAGCGTCTCTTTTTCAACCACTTGGCTCGGTGGGGAAGCCATAGCGACAGCAGCAACGACATCGGCGATTTGATTGAATGCCATGACCCTCGAGACCAGTCCATTTTTCTCCGGGCTTGCATACTCTTCGCCAGCAGTTGCTATAACAGCAGCGAGAGGAAGAGACACGAAATACCAAACTATGATGACGAAGATGAATCCCTATCGAACGACCGCCACCTTCGGCATTATCTGTTGCAACCGTACATCGATGAGTACATGAGGAACCATGCCTCGGTGACGWTTCAGAACCTCTAAATAGTAGACCAGAGCACCAGCAAGAGAAACGTGTTACAACTGTGCATTTTTCATCATACAAAAGAGGAGGCGATCCATTTTTAAWAGGTATTGCACTGAAACTAATAGATAGTTCGTTACGACAAGTTTTCAATAGGATCGGTAAAACTGGTTAACGATTACTAATAGCATTGATATCACCCCTGTCGCCGAATCTGTACGAAAGGGCATATGAAGGAAAGGAAGTGAGTTAATCTCTTGTGTATATGTTTGTGTGTACTACCTGAAACAACCCCCCCCCCCCCCATAATATTCTGCTAACTACTATTACTAGTATTCTTGTTTCATGTTTGGTCAAAGTTGCTGTAGCAAGTCAACTAAGGGGCACTTGCTGCTGTGGTAGTGTGGTAGGGCTGATGGTGGTGACAATCCACCAAACCACATCATTACCAAAAGGAACAACTAGGGAAAAAGGTGTTTTCTAGGATCCCATYTGCAAATGAAGTTAAACATGTTGGTTGTTGAAAGTAGGTGCTTCAATTCTGCTGCTACTAGTAGGAAGGAGAACATTTCAATCCCAATAGTCAGCAATCTTAACAAGAAATACATAAAAATAGATTTTTAAACGCATTTAATTAGATACGTCTTTAAAATCCATTATATTTACCAAATAAATTTAGTGTTGTTTCTGGATTATGAGTCGTTGTCTACAAAAAGTTTTTCCTGAGCTATTTTGGTTAAAGTGATCATAGTAGCTAAGCCAAGAAACCTTTAAGAACTATTGATATTACCCTGTTGCAAAATGATGGGGCCTGATCTCGTTTGGTTGAGTCATCTGTTCTTAAGTGTTTCTGTACCAGTTTGCAACCATCCCTGGCCTAATTTTGAATTCCATCCCCCTCCTTGGTTCTTGTAATCTAGACCTCTTTYCCCCCAAATAAAATATTTTAGCTCTAAATTCACAAATTGTCCCCCCTGGTGCAACYGAACAAGCAAGTACACAACACTTTAGAAAACTTTTTAAAGTGGACAAGATCTACTGAAGTCAAGATCAATTTGTTTGATCCAAAAGATTCTTTTGTAAAAATGGTGTCATTAGTGTCCTTCTGTGTTGCCATTCTTGGTGGGTTCACTGCAGCACCTCACCAGTGTCACAGAAAGTAATCCAGTTGGACAACAAACTCCCAGCCAAACATTGTGTTGAAGCAACAAGAATAACAGAAAACTCCAAAGCATGGTACTCTCTTTTGCTGCAATCCTCCTCCTGTCAGCCAAGAAGTGATCCAAGAAATGCACCACAAGAMGGGTAGTTGCTGGTAGTAGTACTGCTACCACCAAGAAAGGCAGAAGGAGGAGAACAGGAACAAGAAAGAAAATATTGGCCAGCTATGCTGCAACAACAGATAAGTGCAATACCCTTATTGTTGCCCAAARGTGAAGTGACAACAAGGATAAGGACAAAGATTTCAATTCCCAAGCCCTGACTAGGGGTTTTGCATTGGCAGTGAGTGCAGGCAGCGTGGTGAGGATGGATTGGAGTTTTTTTTACTTGAGTGATGACATCCATCAGCTCAGCAGGCAGAAAGAGGCAAGAAGGAAAGAATTTGATTAGTGAAATATTCACTGTACTAGATGAGGCTTTCTTTGCTCTCGCAATGAATTTTATCTTTGTTGGGAGAATTAAATTGACACAAAGGTTCTGGGCAAGGATGTTCAGGGTACAGACAACAAATAGAATACAAAAATATACACAATTCAGGTGGGGTGAGAAACAGCTATTAAGGAATAGTACATCTGCTGCTTAAATTCCTCCTCTGAAATATTGGAAGATTGGATGGGATTGGCACCACCATGTACCAGTTCCACATGATTGGAATTTCACTACTAATGCCATTGATTATCATTGATATTATGTGGTTGCATTGTCCCRACTTCCCAACCCAATGAATGCAGAGGTGCAGCATATATGTACTAATWCTAATTCATGCATCATGGTGGTGGTGCTCATATTGGAATGCTCTGGGATTGGTTAGTAAATATTGAATATGGGGCACCAATATGGTGGTTAAGGTGGTACCTACCAGCACTACATATTTCAATAATTTTTTCCATTTAAAAAACACAATTTTTTAATATTTAAAACAGTGCATTTGCAGATGCAAGATGGATTGTTACTACAGAAGGCCCTGAAAGATGAAAGAAGATGAAGTAGTAGTCATAATACAAAATAGAGTTAAGTTGATTGTCAAGTACTGCTAGGGGAACCACCAACAGCTTTTTATCAGAAAAGCAAASATACTGTTTGCAAATTTAATTAAAGACAAATACAACAACAAAAACCGTGAAAGAGAGTAACAAGATTCAGAGCCAAGTTACAATTATTTCCCCTAGCAACAGTGAATATTGAATGATCTTCAACTAGTACTAGCAAACCATTACTAGATTTAGCAGGGATGACAACAAGTAAGAAGAAGAAGGAATAACAATGATGATGACAACAATGGCCAGTGTTTTATTGCAGAGAAATCTGCTCTTTGGAATGGTTTTGTATTTGATACTAGCTAGTACTGGTGTGGTTTGTACATGAATTTGATTTGTTGGATCAAAATTCTCAAAAAGTGAGCAAAAAATGAGCTTAAAAAGATCCAAATTACAACCTCGATCCCTAAATTAGTATAGTACAGTTTGCTCTACTCTGTTTTTTTCAAAAATAATGGTTGTCTGGTATTTATTTTACTATAGTTTTTGGAGTTTTTGGCCCTTGGATGCCACAAATGACTAGTATGTATAACTTGTAAAAAGTCAGTACTACAGAAAAAAAAGCTAGTAGTGTGACATACTAGTAGCAACAAACTAGTAAAACCAGGCACCTCTTCTGAACAAAGATCACCAATATAAGAAAATCATTTATGACAATGAGAAGTATACTACTAGTAGCCTCATCAATTGCTGCGTACTCTTTCCTATTGTACTATACAAGAAGTAGCAGCAAATCTAAATGACCACCATCAGCACTAGTACTAGAACCCAACTGAAGGTAAAATCACATTCATAGTACTGCTACTATGATGCAAGAAATAGCTATTTTTGAATAGTTAGTACTATTACTATAGTGGTGATTTTATTGATAYAGGATACATTGCACAACTATACAAGTATATTTAATCTAATATTGCCACTGTATAGCATGGTGGGCCAAGCAAAAAAAGACGGTTCCAACCGTACATTAGCAATTAAAGATATAYGTACATGTATATCTATGAATATTTGTCAGATGGCATTCTCCTCCACGGCAATAGAAAGCTCTTTGAATTCTCTTTTTAACCATGTGCTTGTCTTACTTAAGTGTCGATTGGGGGAAAGTTGTGGCTGTTCGAGTGAGTTGAACCTGTCTTAATGCCCTACATGTTTTTTTACTGTGAGTGAATTTTGGGCTATCTTTTTACTGTGTAATAACTCATGGGATTAAAAATTTGCATGTGTTCCAAGCCAAAATTGGCTTTTGAGCACGTGCGCGTGAAACTATTTGGTGGCACACTTGTGGGACTCAAAAATAACACTACTGAGCACGCACATTTGGTACGTTTTAGTCAGATTAGTCATTACACGCAAAAAGATAGCCCCTAACCTACGACTGCAACCGTACATTAGCTTGCCAACTCTTTATGAGGATAAAAAGAACCATTGAAATCACCCAAATATTGAGCTAAACCCAACTCAAGCAAGTGGTGCAAACTGTACTATTATTTTGGAATGGAGGAGGTAGCAGTAATGGGAAATACTATTTTGATTTGAAATAGTTTTCACCATTTGTTTCTACACCACCATGGAACTCAAAGAAAGGATGAGGTAGTACAAAACCAAAATTAGTAGGTGTACTATTCTCTGTGTAGTACAGTCGTACTAGTAGAGCCATATGAGATTTGAACTTTCTTCTT